TAGAAGAGACACCTACTTAAGAATATTGCCAAATTGTTTTAAAGAGGGGAGGGGGCAGAGACTGGAGAGATAGCTCAGTGGTTAAGAGCACTGGCTGCTCTTGAAAAGGACCCAGGTTCGATACCCAGCACCCACATGGCAGCTAACAACCATCCAGAACTCCAGTTCCAGGGGATCCAACACCTTCTTCTGACCTCTGAAGTCACAGCATGACACAGGTACACCTACCTACCTGCAGGCAATGCACTCATACACATAAAACAAAAATAATAATAATAAAAAATTAGCTGAGCATAGTGATGCACTCCTTTAATTCCAGCCCTAGGGAGGCAGAGGCAGGTGAACCCCTGTGAGTTCAAGGCCAGCCTGGTCTACATAGTAAGTTTCAGGCAGGCTGGGGCTATGAGGAGACCTTGTATCAAAAAGACCAAAAACAATTTTTTTTTGGAAAAGAATATTATGCCCAGTCTTATCAGCTCATAATAAAAGAGATGTTATAGATGCAGAAGGAATTCTTATGTAATATAAGGGCCATATGGACAGTAAGACTACATATACTTATCGTGGAACCACAAAAGGCATATTTCAGAAATTCTTAACAGGCTGGAAACAAGCAAACATGACATAGGGGGTGAGTGTAAAATGCTATTCTTAAGTTCCCCAAATTGAAACCATCCTAAAGTCAATTACAAAAATAGAAGATTTTTGACACCTGGTAAAAAAGAATTTCAATTATAAGACAGGGACAAGTTGGAGGAATATATATTTATAGTCAAAAGCAATGTTTATAGCTGACTTGTGAGGGTTGGCCTTGTGGATACAGACAGAAGACTAGATAGGAGGTGCTGGCTCTGTGGCTGACAGAAGTACAGCCATGTTTCTTTCTTAGATATTTATTAGTTCACAAGAAACAAAATTATATAAGCAAATAATACCATTTCAGATGGAAACAAATTCCCTAATTTTAGAAATAATCATTTGTGAGTGAAAAATTCAGTTATTATAAAAAATAATTGATATGTAGAGATCAAAAATTAACACTCACCCTTAAAAATCAAGTAAAGTTAAATCAGTGTAATAATATAAATAAATAATCGACATAAATAAAAAGTTATAATAACAAGAATTTATAAATGAGGAAAGAGAGTTTCAAAGATGACAACTTACTGGGCCAGCAAGATGCCTCAGTGGGAAAAAGTACTTGCTGTGTAAGTCTGACAACCTGAGAAGCCCATGATGGAAAGAGAGACCCCACTCTAGAAAGTATTCTTCTGACCTCTACAAACACATCTTGGCACCCACACTCATACACAGGATAATAAAATTTTAAAGAAGATAATTTACTAACTTCATAACTTACTAACTTTACACATAGAATCATAAGTAGCAGTCCTCGCTTTGAAAACCCAGATGTCTGTTACCCTAGGGTTACTGAGTACATTGTTTCCGTGTCAGGTGGAGACAAGCTTACCTTTTAAGATATAATTACAATGAAACAATTTAAAACAGTCCCACTCTAAAAACCACTATGTAAAGTGGGACTTAAAGTGCTTTATTTTATTAGAATGCCATTTTATAACATCAAAGTGTTTACTGTCCTGGGTACAGCTAAGACCTGTCAAGGAAAAGATGCTTGTATGGTTTGGGTGTTCAGTGTTCTGCAAATATCATGTATAACAGGCTTGGTTCCCATAGTGGCAGTCTTGGGAGGAGCAGGGGAAATTTCTGAAAACAGGGCCTGGGGAGGCTCTTTAGTCATTGGAGGTATGGCTTCAAAGGGGCTACTAGGCCCTGGTCTGTTCTTCCTGGCTTGTGGAGTGAGCAGTTTCCTGTGTCTACCCACAATCATGATAAGCTGTCTCAAAAGAGGTGGAAATCATCTGGACCACCCACCTGATTCTGACCTGGAGCCTCTCAAACCATAAGCCAAAAGAAATCCCTTCGCATGTTAATTGTCTCCAGTATTTTAATTTTTTGTACTCGTGAAAAGTTGACTACTAATTATCTTTCACAAACTTTGATATAGAAAGTATACTTTATATAGATAAGCACTCATCAAATTAGTTATACACAAATTTTCCAATAGATTAACTATCCTCTAAAAGAAGAACTAATACATGTGTGAACAAAGCTTGTGTGAAAAGAATTTCAATAGGAAAGCATCATCTTCCCTCCCCAGTAAGTAAAATAGAAAGGGTGTTTAAAAGACACCCTACTAACAGTTCTTTTCTAAATAAAATAAATGAGAGCAAAGGGAACCTTGACTACTTCCTAGGAAATAAAATCAGAACACAGAGAAATCTGTAATTCTAAACACATTTGCACCTTCTTTCCTTTTTGCCATCCATTATTAGGAGCTCAATAGTCTTAGAAGAGTTGGAGCAGCACAGAGAACAAAGATGAGGGAAATCTGAGAAGCAGTTCAAATGGCTGTCCTCACTTAGCTTAGTAATTTCCAATTGGATAAGATTTTCAGAATATATAAAAAGCATAAATGTAGGAAGAAACTGCAAATAGTTATTCTATCTGCTTATTATAGAAATAGCATTTTCGTTAGACCCCACAGGAATGAGCCACTGAGGGCAAGGAATGCGAAAAAAAAAAAAAAACTCTAAAAATAGACTTCTTATAAAAAATAAATATCCAATTAAATATTTTAGTTTTGTCGATGAAAAGCTATGTGCTAAATGAGCAGATTCATTAAAAATAATGCTAATATTTGTGTTTTCATGCAGAAATGACTACTTATCTCTCTCCTATGACTACTATGATACTATGTACTCTCCTGAGACTGAGGTACTTTTAGGAAACAAGATGTCATCTACCTACTAATTTGGTCATGATAACTATTACAGATATTATATACACAAAAATAAAGAAATGTTTATGAGGCATATGGTATGTATAACTTACACAATATGGGAATGGGATTTTTTAAGCAAGATAAAAAGGCGAAATCAATGCCAAAACAAGTTTAGTGTTTTATTGAATTTTTCAAATAAATGAATAAAGGCACAAGAAAAATTCAGAATTACATAAAATACACATACGAATGGTTTGTTGAGTTAATCAAAATCAGCATAATATTTTCACATGACTTTTTTAAATGAAAATACCCAAATAATTTAGCACTTCTTCCATTGACACTGCTGATGTCTGCATATAACTGGCCTGGCCCTTTTAGTGGGAGCTATTATGATTTCTCCATCACCCTTAATCCACAGAAAAAGAAAAGCTGTGCAGTGGGGAAACAAACCAAACCGACATTAGAAAGAAGATGCTGACCCCCTCAGTGCTTTGTACCATACGAAGCACAAAATGCAAATACTGACAATCATTTGCTTCTTTGTAAGACATAGCTTCCACATTCCTTAATATCCTGGTGAAGGACTACCTGAGTGAGTCATCATCTAGAAAGTTCCTCTTCAAAAGAGATAACACACACAAGGTTCTAGAAATGAAAAATAACAGTTTCTAGTCAAAGCGGTGGATTCAGCAAGCACCAGAAACACTGAAATATGAGAAGGGGTTGAAATCCAAGTCTTACTGAGCAGCTGTCAACATACACAGAACACATCAGCCAAAGCCTTTGGGGGGTGAGATCTCATGACGTTTGTGAGAATTTCACAGCTCAACACCCTCAACAACAACAAAAAAAGCAGCTTATTTTATCAGCAGCTAAATTAGTTTTTTTTTAATGAAAGACTGCATTGAAATAAGGAAATATGTACTTATAAGAGGGTATTTGAGGAGACTTGCCCCAAACTGAAAACATCAACTATGTTGTTTCAAGTAGTGTGGAAAGAGTGTCCAATAGAACTGAATAGGTTTTCAAATTAATATTGGTGTGCTGTAAGCCTGGTCACGTAAACGTTGGCACTCTGTAGTTCCCAGACCCCCAGATTTTTGTCCCCTAAGGATAAGAATTGAGTTCATAGGGAGAAAAGTAATCAAGCAAACGCATCACCACTGGGGAGTGCTAAAGGCGAGTCTCACACTGGAAAGAGGATGCATTTTGGACTCGAGCATCCTCTGCAAAGTCTTTGTTCACCCCAACAACCTCCTAATGTTCATTCCATTCTCTGTTGTCTTCAGCAACAGCTAGCACAGCTCTGGTAGTATCTGACTTAGCTCTAGGCACCTGCTCTCACGTTGGATCTCTAGGACCTTCTCTTTCCACAGAATGTGCACTGCATCTCCACCAATAGATACAAATCTGCGCGGTGGAATAGGAAACTAGGGATGAAAGCAGGAAAGGGCGCTTATGGGAAGCATGCTCTACCCCTGCATATTAACAGTTCTCTTTCCCTAGAAGTCTACAGTATACCTCATCCATGCTCAGCGACACCAAAAAGGGTTTGATCTCCCATTGCCCTCACGCCTTTCAGGCTTGAAACTACTTTGTGGGTCTGGGGGACACTGAGCAGTTCGGGTTTCTGTAGAAAGGCTTGATGACAGGGTGCAGAGGAGCAACTAAAGGTCACATCTGAGTACACAGGGTCCGGGGCTAATTACAGAAAAGATCTGCGCTTCTCCAGCAAAGGGATACGTAAAAAGGTTTATGTTTTGATCATCAAACTTGTGGCAACCAACTCAATTCCTTCCAGGTTGTGAGAAAACAGTAAACCCGGGACCCCTGGTGACATTCTCTCCAGAAAACAGATCCGTGGTCTGGACGCACTGCCCCCAGATCTCCGCTTTGCTAGCTCCTTCAAAGGCATCACTGGAGACTAAGGGAGCACAGGCGGGAAGCAAACGCCCAAGAGCACGGTAGCCCACCCGGCACATGTAAGGAGCCCCTGGTAGCTGCCACGCCCCTGGTCCATAAGGAGCACCCCTAGAGGACTCACAGGGTTTCAACTGGTGCGACTGTTGAGCCGGAAAGATCAGCTCCCCCAAGGACAACCTTTGGAAGCCGGGGGTAGGGGCGTGGGAGAAGGCAGCGCCCAGAGGCCCCGGCCGGCACCCTGCACTCCGCCCCACCGGCCAGCCGCTCATACCTGCCCGCGGTGCATCGATCAGCCCCTTAACAGCTCCCCCGAGACGCCACTGGAAAAGTTTCCGAACTTCTTCGCAGCTCTCCACACCCTCGCTCCGGGTAGATCCAAGAAGAGCCAGGAGAAGAAGACAGCGCCCGCCCAGGCGCCAGGTATTGGTGCCCATCCTCGGTTCCTGGTCGTCCCTTCCTGGCAGGGGTTCCCACTCTCCCACGTGCCTTGCGCTGGAGGAAGATGCTCCTCCAATGCTGGTGAGGGTGGGATGCGCAGGCGGCCGGGACACAGCTCACCCACCGCGGCTTCACCTGCCGGAGCTCGGCTTTCTCTTCCCGAGCTCCAAAGCCGAGACACTGGGCTTAGGCTGAGCACCTCTGGGGTCCCCCCCGGACCAGGGTGAGTTGACACTGAGCCGCCCAAAGAAAAGCCCCGGAGTCAGGGAGGACCTGCGAGCTTCGGGAGCTGGCTCCCCAACGCTGCGGCATCCGCGGGCTCAGTTAGCACCAGCTAACCTGGGATGTGCCTGGCCGCCACTCTCGGCGGGAAGCCCCGCCTCAGCCGCCCCTAGGCCAAGTCACGCCCCTAGGCCACGCCCCCCCTCCCCCGCGCGCTCACAGCCGGGCTCTGAGTCTGCAGAGTTCCCTAGGGGGCACCATCACAGCTGGGGTGCGACACGTTGGAGAAGGACCAAATGAATTAAAGAAAACCCGGACTCTGTCCTGCTAGTCCATCCTGAAAGTCATCTGCTGAACAGAAAGTATGTATGAAGAGGACCAGAGAAAGGAGATGAAACAAGAATGGAGCTAAGATGGAAACAGTTCTCCATAAATCAAGGTCCTCTGTGCACAGGAATTTGTACTCAAATTGCATGAAATGGACCTGGACACAAAACAAAAGGCAATAAATTATTTTTTTGAGAAGCCTTTTAGCACTTAGCGTTCAAAACCGTATACATGAGAAATTATTTTTTACTGCTTTATGTTTTGGAGCATTTTTCTGTAACATTAGCTATGATTTCCTGAAAGAATACCAGAGTCTCACTGGAGCGTTATGGCATTCTTAACATCACAGTGAAGTCCCCCTAATTTTCTTACCACTCCTTGACATCATACTGTACTTCAGCACTCTCTGCCTGGACTTTATGAGATTTCTTTTAAACATTTTTAAATTTTGAGATTTCTTTAAAACATTTCTCAGAAAGCAATTAAGACAAATATGTTCTGGGGAGTTTCTCCCCAGGAAGATAGAAAAATAACAAATACATTCAGCAATTTTAAAACAAGGAAATTTTCGTGGAGTTACAGTTTGCAGAAAGAATGCATTCAAAACCAGGAACTAAAGTGCAGCTAAGCCTGAGTGACTGGCAAGAGCATCCCCTCATCTCAGCCACCTGGAGAGTGCTGCCCAGCAGAACCAAGCTATTTAAAAGCATTAGGCAGGAGGGGCTCTAAATACCTCAACCACTTTAAGAGAATTTCATCTTAAAGCTGAACCCTTGCCAAGACTCCTGATGAATAATTTTCAGTCTTCGCTAAGTGTCATGGGGTTTTTCTAATGACCATTTGATATCAAAGGCAGCACTTTCAGAAGGAGATCACTCGCTAAGGCTGGGCCACTGCTTCACAGTGAAACACTACCAACTTGTCTTTTGACATTCATTCCCCAAACACTACATTTTTTTCTTAGAATCTCTCTTTAAAAATGAGAACAGAAAACGTTAGTTGTTTTAAGTTCTAGGCCTTCAAGCAAGGGTTTATATATACATTCTGGAAAAATAAATTCTCCATGAGTTTCTTCTGTTCTGACCACCATCATGGAAAGCCTTCTGGAGTCAAGAAGCAAGAGAAGCCATGGTGTCTAAACACTGCTTACGTGCTAGATAGTACTCTACACGCTGTACGGATTCTCTTCACTCATTTTTATAGCAACTTTATAACGTAGTTACTATTATGACTGTTTTACAAATGAGGAGACATGTTCAAAGATGTAAGGCATTTTCCCAAGGCCATAGGTAGATTGAGAAACCAGGAATCAAAGCAAAGAGTTGAAATCTGGGTTCTTTGGCCACTTCATGCTGTACCAACACTTACCTACATTCAGTAACACCAGACTCCTCATTAATTCACCAGACTTTTTTGTAGCAATATAAGTGGTTTTATGTCATTTTGCTCTTCTAAACTCCCTCATGTGTTAATATAAAGCAAACTAAATTCCAAGTTTTCACACAACTTCCTTATTGCCACTAAGATTTCTCTTTGTTAGAGTTGATCATCATAGACTCCTAGAATTTAAGAATCTTGGGACTGGAGAGATGGTTAAAAGCGCTAGCAGCTCTTGCAGAGGACCTGGGTTCAGTTCCCATCACCCACATGCTGATTTACAACCATCCATTACTCCCAGTTCCAGGGGATCCAGTACACTCTTCTGACCTCCTGGGGCATTGCATGCCATGAATGCACTTACATACATGCAAGCAATACACTCATACATATAAAAATAATAAATAATATATTTTAAATATTTTAAAGGAATTTAAGTCTTATATAGTCTGATTCCTTCAGTTGTACTCTGTTGACCTCTTGTCAATTTGACACACAAGCATACCACTATTAAATCATTAACTTTTCCATTTCTTGTCCCCAAGTTTTCATGTTAATATTGCAATACAAAACATAGTACAACATTAAAAGTCCCACTCTCCTTAAAAATTCTAATACTTTAAAATGTCAATGTCTCCTTAAAATAATCCAAAGTTTCTTAACTGTGGGGGTGCCTATAAAAATCAAAAAACAAGCTAAATACTTTCTTATTTCAAAAGAGAAGAACCATCCAGGAGTGTAGTTCAAATCTCAGACATCTGATGTTCACTGATGATCTTCTGGGCTCCAACAGGCTTGAGAGGCTTCACTTTCCTGGCTCTAACATCCGCAGCACACATAGCTTGTCTCATAGGCCCAGGAAAGCTCCACTCCACATCTGCCGTGGTCCTTGATGGTCAACCTTTAATCCTGGTATCTCAAATATATCTTGTAGTCTTTGCTGCACCTGAGACTCTGCCTTTACCAATGGCCTCTTATGGCCTCTCATGGTGCAAAGCCTTGGATTCCCTCTAGGACCCCTCCAATTCTGCAGTTTCATGCCACAAAAACCAGTATCATATGGGAGACTCTTACACATTCCCAAGTCTGGCTTCTACCTTAAGATGCAGTTTGGGCTCCCTCTGGACCACAGCTTCTGTGTGCTGACCTGATGAAACACTTCCCAGAAGATTTCACCTCAATGATGCTTATTGGCATGCTCCCCTTGGCTTATGCTCACCCTCTTTTCTTATACAACCCAGGACCACCTGCCAAGAAACTGACACCACCCACAGTGAACTGGGCCCTCCCATGTCAACTATCAATTAAGAAAATGCTTCCCAGACATGGCTACAGGCCAATCTGATGTAGGATTTGCCTCAATTGAGGTTCCCTTTTTCTAGGCATGTCACCTTGAAAACTGAGGCTATCTAACACATCTGTAAGATAATTTCTTTCAGGAAGAAAGTTGCAAACATAACTAAGAAGTATTGATGATTCAACTAACAGATACTGATTAAATATATACGATATAAAAAGCTCTGCTAAGCATAACAAAGTGCATAGAAACTTACAAGCAAGTTCTTTCTCTTCTTGGGGATTTCATAATGTATTTCAATAAAACAGGTGGGAAGGTATATACAGAAAGTGAGTAGGTTCAAATCAGAAAAGAAGTGTACAACGAGCTGGAGAGATGGCTCAGCAGTTAAGAACACTGGTTGTTCTTGCAGAAGACTCGGGTTCAAATCCTAGCACTCACATGGCAGCTAACAACTGTCCATAACTCCAGTCCCAGGGGATCCGACAGCCTCTTCTGACCTCCACAGGCATTACACAACACGGGTGCACTTACCTACATGCAGACAATACACATATACACATGAAACATAAAAGTAATAAATAATATTTAAAATAGAATAAAATAAAAATAATAAAATTTTAAAGAAAGAAAGGAAGTGTACTTAGTCTGTATAAACAAGATACATTCACAAACATCAGATAAATTTTGCTAATGTCCCCCTCCTGTTGCCATAGTGGATGAACCATCAAGTGTCTTGGAAGGGCTGCTTTTCTTCTCTTTAATCCTATACTATCCATATAAATAGCTTGCTCACTTGCTCACTTGCTCTTCTGGGAATCTACAAGACAAATTCACATCTTCCAACCAGAATACAATACCACAGTAGGCATTCTTAGAGCACTATCTATACAATGTATTATAACTGATCTTTTGTTCCATTGATTCATAAATATTATAGATGAAGCAAGGGAGGAATTTTCATAATTTGATGGTTATAATGTCTCATTTTTCAAAAGCTGTTCAATCACAATCTTTGAATTCCTTTTGTATAACAGACCCTGTGCTTTCAAAATATCAAGAGCTTTAGATAGGAAAATCTTTTTAAAGGGTCATCATTTAAAATATACTTTAGTGGCTAGAGAAATGCTTGGTGGTTAAGAGCACTGGCTATGCTTGCAGAGGATCCTGGCTTGGTTTTCAGCACCCACAAAGCAGGTAATAACTATCCATAACTCCAGTTCCAGGGGATCTGATGCCCTCTTCTGACCTCCATGGGAACAGAATGACATGAGTGTACTTACATACATGCAGACAATACAATCATACACATAAAATAAATACAATATTTAATGTATATATATATATATATACTTTAATAATCTTTTAAATGCAAAGTTTTGCTAATATTTCTAAGTAACTGTTTACAGTTTGTCAATTCAGGGCCTGTGCTGAGAAAGACTTGCCAGTATGGTGTAGGTGTTCTTAATGATACTACAGAGTCTTAATCATGGTTACTACTTCAGACCAACACTGACCACTACTTAGCTGACACTCCATACTGTTATTTTTAACCATTAACTTGACACAACCTAGAATCACCTGAGAAGGTAATCCCGATTGGGGGACTTCCAGATCAAATTGGCCTGTGTGCATGTCTGTGGAGTACTGTCTTGATTGTGGACAGAGCCCATTCCCTAGGCAGGGGGTTCTGAACTGTATAAAAGTAGAGAAAGCTAGCTGAGTATCAAGCAACCAGCAAGCAAGCATGCATGTGTGCTCTTGACTGTGAGTGTGATGGTTTAAGGACCTGCCTTGACTTCTCTCAATAATGGACTGTAACCTGGAATTGTAAGCCCAATAAGCATTTTTTCTCCTCTTGTTTTTGCCAGAATATTTTATCACACAACAGAAATGAAACTCAAACACATTCAGAAGCTGGTTTGGGTAACCTCTATACCCAGTAAATAATAATAGCTAATACTTATTAAACACTTACAGGAATTGTCTCATGTGACATTTCAACCATTCCATGACAGCTGCAATTATACTACTAATAAAGAAACAGACATACACATGTTATGTTAAGTAACCTAGAAACCACCTATCTGAATGAAGCCTAAATGCAAACCAGGCATGACA